ATCCAAGAGATAACAAGCAGAGTAAGAAAAGACACAACTGATGAAAAATGGACACAGAAAGATCTGAGCAAAGGAAACTAGAAATGAGTATAAAGCAGTGGTTCTGATGAATTTAACAAATTCAGAGTTTAATGAATTCAGATTGAAATAATAGCTAGGCATGCTATTGTTGGTTATTTAACAACAACCATATTAAATTGAATTTTTTTCCATTCAAAATAAAGAATTGTTTAATAGGGGCCTCTGAAAAATAATGTCATTTGTAAGTTGAATTTTAATAAGTGCTAATAAATTAGTAACAAAGCCCTTCTTATTGGCACTCAGGGACTTCTGGTGTTACAGAAGAAGACAAAAGTGAACTCAATACATGTGTCAAAGTGACTTATGAAAAAAATTATTTATTCCAGTAACAATTTAACATTAATGTGTGTAATGATTTCTGAATGTCAAGAATTGTTTTAAGGAATTGCTAATGCTTAGGGTTGAGAAAGAGTCAGAGCAGACCCGATACTAAGATAGACAGGTCATTGCCAACTTCCAAGTGGGTTTTTATTTTTTTTTTCCATGTGTACAGGGGTAACACATCGTACTAAATATGTAAGGTCATATCTACGTGGGTTTGATTACAGAAACTAATAAAGTATTCTCTAAATAATGAAAAAAAGAATAAGATAAGACTATAAGAGCAAGAAGCAATTTAAATATGTTCAGGGACCATTTTCATCTCCAGAATTAAGGATTATTTTAATGTTACATCATTGCCTTTTCTCTTTTACTTTCCTTTTAAGTTTTATTTTAGGATTCCCTCTTTTTAATGTTCATACAGAGATTTCTTTAACTGAAATACCGAATAGTTTCTTTGGTGTGAAACACTATAATAGTACACAGGATACTAATGTGATAATTAATAATGTGAAATAGGAAGTAAAGGGCTAAAGGTGTAGGGAAAGTGGGAAGGGTGGGGGAAGGTAATAAGGGAGAGGAAAAAAATAAGAGAAACTGAAAAAATGGAAATAAAGTGTTTGTAAATGGGGAAGGGCGGAGGGGGAGAAGGGAGGGCAGGGACAAGGGGAAAAAATGAGAATCAAGACCTATTATGTGAAGGTACAAAATCCCAATGATGAATGTAATTGTATTGTATACCTAGACTGTACCAATAAACTCAATAAAAAGAAAAAAAAAGATAGGTCATTGCCAACTTCCAAGTGGGTTGTGTCCAAAAATATTTGACTGTGGGCCTAGGATTTATCTCAGTTGGTGCCACATCTGCCTGGCAAATGCAAGACCCTGAGTTCAGTTCCCAGCATTGAAAAGAATTGATTGTAAATGACTTGTTTGGCACTTGAGTTTCATTTGTCCAGAGAGCTGGTGATCCAAGTGGAAGCACTAAGCCCAGTGGCTTTCAATAAAAGAGGTGTGTCCAGGAGCCCCAGGGAGAGAGGAACCCAGATTCCTTCAGCTCTACAGATAGGATGGGAGTTTGGATGTGAGGAGGTGCCCAGGCAGGACATACCTGGGAAAAGTGCAATAGCTAAGGTTCAGTTCTTGCCCTGTTACCTTTCAGCTATTTGTCTTTAAGGAAGTTAATTCTCTGAACCTGTTTCCTTCTCAAACACATGAAAAACTACCCCAACTATATTGCAGAATTAATGTCATATAAGGTACTTTAGTTCAGTGTGTCCAAACTCACTATTGTCTTTCCAAACATGCTCCCTTTTTAGCTTTAATCTTCTTTAACCATTACCAAGTCCTGTAGTCCTACAGTTTCTACCTCTGAAATGTCTCTGGAACATTTCCATTTACCTCTATCCTTACTGCACTGACCTGGATCAGCCACATCACCGTCTCTGGCTATAAGACCCTTAATGTGTCCTGCTCTTTCTACTTGACATTCTTATAAAGATAGCCTTGCACCCTGTTTTGTTCCCTCTAATCTGTTCTTGATGGGACAAGAGCTCTTGAGAGCTTTTTAAAATGCAAATCTGATCCCAGGACTCCTACTTACAATCATTCAATAGATCCTCAATGCCCTTTGGACAAAGGCCAAACTCAACATGAATTCTAATGCCTGCACACCCTGTAGCCTCAGCCTGTTCCTCCATCCGCATTCATAACTCCACATACACATACCCACACCCACAACTCCATATATCTGCTATGGGTAGTTTATGTAGGTCTCTTTCGCGTATGCACAGGCCACCTCTCCCACCTCTCCCATGCCCAACTCCGAAACAGGTGGTCCCCTGAGAACACCTTTCCATCATTGTGCCCTTCCCAGCTTCCCATACTTAACTCTATTATCCATTGTCCTCTTGGCCAACCTTGACCTTAGTAGTTACTAGAATTCCAGTAGCAACATTCAAGGCTTTCCCTCTCATACTACTTCATTGTAATGATTAGTTTAGTTTTCTGATTTCTCAGCAGGCTAGAGGTCTGATGCAGCGAGGGAAAGTGGTAGTAAGACTGTAAGTTTTAGCTAGATTAGGTCAGACTTTGGCCTCTGTTTATCAAATTATTCATCATCTTTATGACTCAGTTTCCTTATCTGTAAAATGGGGGACATAACTCTACCTCATACAATATATACATATGTATGAGGGAGAGAAATTGATGCAAATAAAATAAGTCTGCAGCAAAGAGAGTTACACATAAAAGGGTACTTATTAAGTACAATCTTCTTGTTTTGCTTTATCTCTTAAAGCAAGATATTTTTTCCAAAGGCTATTTTCCGTTAGCTTGTGAATTGGCTAAGAGTGTAGCCTAGTGCTGGAGCACTTGCCTCATAGGTGCTATATGAGGGAGAGAAATTGATGCAAATAAAATAAGTCTGCAGCAAAGAGAGTTACACATAAAAGGGTACTTATTAAGTACAATCTTCTTGTTTTGCTTTATCTCTTAAAGCAAGATATTTTTTCCAAAGGCTATTTTCCGTTAGCTTGTGAATTGGCTAAGAGTGTAGCCTAGTGCTGGAGCACTTGCCTCATAGGTGCAGGCCCTCAGCACCACAGAAACACATCAGCAAAAAAATTTTTTAAAAGCCGGTGCAAAAGAGTGTTAATACTCGCTTTGCTTCCATATTTGCTTATTCTTTCCCAATCTATATAGCCTTTGAGTGTGGCATAAAGACATAAAGTGGAATCCAAGTGAACAAAGAAGATATTACATCCATAAAACATTCTGTCGCCAGCCAGCAGTCTTTCTTTTCCTATTACTTGGTACAGGTTCTGCCTCTGCCAGTTCTTTAATCCTTGCCTTTTTATCTGAGCTATCCCCTCAGAGGGTCCTGGGTGGGAAGTCCAGCCTGACAAATCTGGAGCATGAAACTCATTCAACAGGTACAGTCCTGCGTGCCTGCAAGCAAACTAAAGTATTCTCAGCTTCTCTTTGCACTCTGCAAAAACAACACACACACACACACACACACACACACACACACACACACACACATCTTTTTTTAAAGAAAGTGTTACCGAATACATTTCAAAGGCAAAATTAAAAATTAAGACAGCATTGAGTATGTGATATTTTAACATCTTTGGACATGATAACAAAATGAGCTTCCCACTTTCATGGGCCATTAAGTTTTTATGAAAACGTGGTGTGGGAAAAATCAATAAACATTGGACCCATCTCCTGCATGGTGTCAGGGTGTCCTTATTACCTGGTAGCTGCCAGGCTTTAGAGGAATTACTGGCGTCTTGATTCTCAGATGAGTCACTGGGACTCTTGCCCCCAGAGGCACTTCCTTATGATTCAGTGCAAAGGACTGAGAAGGCTGGGGCTTCCGGAGTGAGTGTGTGTCGGGTGGCGGGTGCAGTGGCTCTGCGTTGGCATGAGGCTTAATTGACACCTTTGATGTAGCCTAAGACAGAACCCGCACCTCCCACTGCCGCTTGGAAGACGTCAGCCTTACGCAGAAAAGGCATCTGCTGATGAATCCTGCATCTCATTCAGCCTGCTCTGGGAGCAGCCTTAGCCATCCGTAACTAATCCAACTGCTTCCCATTTCCGCTGGTACTTGGCTTAGTGCTGAGAAGAGATTTTGCTTCTTGCTATTGTCAGGTCACACACTAAGACTGGGTCCATGTTAGAACTCATAGAAGGTAAGTGGAATCACTGTCAGTCTCCCCTGTGGAGATTGCTTATTATGCACCCTCCAGAATGTATGTGTCTCCTGTTTAATTCTATTTCACTCATTGTGAAACTGTAATGTAATCATTTCTAATCTAAAATGCAGTCAACCTTATATGTCTCTATAAAATCATGTTTTATAAGGGTTTTATTTGTTCTTAGAGGTGATGGTACTCAGAAAAAAGAACTGCTTACATGACTTATGTGGCTTTATCTTGATTCAGATAATGATGTATAAAACTTGAGAACCTGATAGAATTCCAGTGCTTTGAACCTGTTAGACAGTGGCTTTTATTTTCAAAGGCAGCAAAGACAAACTGTGAGGAATTCCTCACTCTCTGGCTAGTTATTTTGTACTATTTGAGACAGGTCCATCAGAATAAGGCTGGAGGATGGAGAGAACACAAATGGATACAGGAGCTTCCAGAAATAAGTTATTAATTATAAAATCACACTGATCTGTTTTTATCAAGTCACTGGAGATATCATTTGTGAACTGTACTAATATTTTCTCCTACTGGGTAGGACTGGGCAGCTGAAATAAAGAATTAAAGATGAATCCTGTTACAAATGTCTCAGGACCTTAACCACACTCCAGAAATCTCTGGTGACACAGATAAAGTCATCATTAATAAAATCATCTAGAAAGTTGGACAAAATACATTTTTAAACTATTATATAACCTGCTGCTATATTAAACACAGAATTAACAAAGCAGTGAATTTCTGAAGATGATCGCTCCCTAGTCTTTTCTTCATGATACCTTTTAGCTGACATCCATCTCTCACTGTTTGTTTCTCTGAGAAGACGAATTGTCATGAAAATTCCTTAATGTGCCATTTTTCTCTTGCATTTCTTTTTGTTTCTAGTTAATGGAACCCCTGGTAGCCAGCTCTCTACTCCACGCTCGGGCAAGTCTCCAAGCCCATCACCCACCAGCCCAGGAAGCCTGCGGAAGCAGAGGGTAAGGAAACAAGCAAGCTACCTATTGAGATCTGCCTTGGTGCACAAGGGCTAGCAAATAGTGTAACTTGTCTCTAGCAGTCACTAAACCAGGGCAAGGAATGACCAATAATGGATGACTTATCTTCACTGTGGTTTAGCCACACTTTAAGGCTTTTAAGTTCTCTGTCCATTTTTCCAAATCTTAACTCTTAGAAGAGTGTACACTGGCTGATTCACTTTCAGATACCATCCTCTTTTTCCTTTTGAACGCACAGTTTTTATTAGCACTGGTTTGTAGGCTTCCTTAGTTGTACCACGTTTTATTAGATAGCATCATTGATCACTGTCCTGGTTAGGAAAAGGGGAAATGCTGTCAAAGGAAGGAGGATCGAGCAGCGGAGAGCCCATGGAACAGGAGATGGGTACCCATGGAGGATATGTGGTTTTATGAATGAAGCCCACATTGAGCATATTCTCTTTCATCACTACTTGCATTTGTTTGGAGCCTCTTGTGTAATAACAGAGAAATTGGCTGAGCCTTTAGACCAAAGTGGAAGAATTGTTAGGAAAAAACTATTAGCTTTTCCGTACTTAGGAAGGGTTATCTCTTTATTCAGGATAGAAAAACTGCTCCACTGTTTGTTGTTTCCAGTAATACCATAGCAAGAATAAAAGGATTGAGAAGGGAAGTCAGGAAGCTACAGTAGCAGAAATGGAAGGCCATTCACGGCCCTGATTTCAGATTTGACATGGGCAGCATGTGTGCCTTAGGAGAGTTTATGATGGTGCTCAACAAATATTTTAATAAGCAAGCTCTCAGTGGAAGCTATTGCACTCCCATACTAAATTCTTGAATTTGATTTCTTTTATTGTGTGTTTTAGAATGACTCATCCAAGTGCTATAAATTTAAGTTTCAACCAAAGCCCCTTCTCTTCAAATATCTTGACCGGGTTGGGTCTTTAGGCTGCCAGAACCATCAGCCTTCTCAAAGTAGAGGGCACAGGGGAGACTATCACACTAAATATCTGGTTTCATTATTGTCTTCATTGATTTGCCTGGCATCAGGTTGAGTTTGTGTGAACTTTTTGATGAAGCCTGGAACTTGGCACCAGATTCTCCTCTAAAGGTTTGGATTATCTTACATAGGTCTACCATCCTTTCTGGGTCTCAGTTGGAAGAACAAAACAATACAGTCTCTTTCCAGACAGAAAAAAACCAAATAACCCTATTCCAATTCCACTTGAGTGATTTTTCTAAGGTCTTCTTAGTCTAATTTCACATTTTAAAGTCCGAGAATTGTTAACTATGCAAATAAGAATTGGCCAAATTTGTTTACTCTCCTAATAGCCTATCCTTGAGTGGAGGAGGAGCTAGTGTGAGCACCCTTTTCTTTTAAATGTTACACTGAAAGGCTCCAATCTATAGGGACAGACCTTAGAGGCAGCATAGGAAGGACTGTCTTCCAGAGAACATTATCTTTCTTGACGTGTACACTTTAGAGATATGCCTAGCACAGAAATCTCTTTATCCTTTGATCCAATCTGGATTTATAGATGTACCTCAGATTTACTTATTGAGATTAAATTAAGAATGCTCAAGAGTCCTAGCCACAGATTAAGCCCAGCTTCTCTCCCACTGTGTTTATCATGGAGACCCCCCTCTATCCTTGGAGGTTTAAAGCTCTGCTCAGATGTCCTATGTTGGCAGAATGAGGTAAGATTTTCATCATTTCCCATTGTATTTTCTGCCTCAGTTGGATTTTGTCCAACTGAGGCAGAAAATTTTCACCCAGCTATGTAGTCATTGGCTTACATAATTAACACTTTTAGCGCTTAGGAAATGACCGTAAGGTATAGTTTTCTGACACTCTTCATTTTGCCATTTATACTACCAGTGCAAGCACGATACTTAAAGTGGGAAGGAGTATCCCATTTGTTTTAGGGAAGCAAAAGGTCTGTCACCGTGTGAAAACATTTATTAAGCATATCTTGTAAGCAGGATGCTGGATATGTTCAAAGATGGTTTAGTTTCCAGGATTTTGCATTTAGCTGCATATATTCAAAGATGGTTCTGTTTTCAAGCCTTTGAGTTTACGAACATCCTCTATCTATGTACCCATGTCAGTGCATGGAGAGTTTCCCAGCTGTGTTAGTGGGAGGGGCTTTCACCATGGTGTTTAGACAATAGCATCAAATAACCCCTCCCAGCTAAATTTGGCCTCAGATATCCCTAAAAAATGATCCTGTTTCAAATTTGGTTAATATTCTTCTCAAATGTTTGGCTGTATTCCTATGCAGGAAATACTGAAATAAGTAAAGGATGGCATGTGCTAAAAGAAGGCACTTCAAAGAATAAATTAACTCTTTTTTATTGCAAATTAGAAAACAGTAGCTATTTCTATTTTTTCCTCCTATGTTGCCTAGCAACATAGCTGGAAGAATGAGTTATTGCCCCCATTCCAATACACACACACACACACACACACACACTTCTTACCCCATTTTAAAATATAGGAATACAGCTATTTTTTCTTTTTAAAATATTTGGAAAATTGCTTTATTTAGAAATAAGAAAATCTATATTTTACTTATGTATGATTTAATCATCCTTTTTACTTAAATTCTTTTTTTTTTTTTCCTGGTACTGGGGATTGAACTCAGGACCTTGCACTTTCAAGGCAGGTGCAATGCCACTGAGCTAAATCCCTGGCCCTTAAATTCATACTTTTATGTTACTTCTTTTGACATTTTATACAATTAAGAGTCTACATATTAGATCTTTTTCTTCATAAACATATTCATGGCAGCATATTAAGCATCCTCTATTTTTCCAAAACACAGTTATTTAACTTGCTCTCTAAAAGCATCTGACTGGTCACAGAATCAGACCTTGGAGATTCTTTTCCTGTCTGTCAACGTTTTTGGTTCCATTCTCAAGACATCGGGAAGAAATGTGTTGTGTAGGTTAAATGAAGCTCCCTGTTATACTCCCACATCACTGACTTCTGTAGATTATCTGATCTGATGATGTGAGGAGTGGGAGGGAGAAAATTGAAACAAAGCCAACTGTAGACATTTTGCAGATCTGAGCTGGTTGCTTGGCTATCAACAGAGAGATTTTGTAGCAGAAATGCCCAGGAGGGAAGATGAGGGGATGTGATGGGCATTTGGTTGGGGACAGGGAAGGAGCATTGGGAGGGCATGAGTGGGAAATGTTTTGAGTTGATGCTGTACGCAAACACATTTGAGTTGCTGCTCTAGAACCAGAATATGCTGAATGCCTGCTGGGGCAGCTGAGAAATGTGTGTGTGTGTGTGTGTGTGTGTGTGTGTGTGAGAGAGAGAGAGAGAGAGAGAGAGAGAGAGAGAGAGAGAGAGAGAGAAGCACATTCCTTTTATACTCAGAATGGGAAGAAAATGTTCATGGAAGGATTTTCTAGACACAGTGTAGCAGAAGTGACCTTGGCAGACCTCAGAGGATGTGACTTAGCTGGACATGGAGGAAGACAATAATGCACAAATAGATTAGGCTGCGCTTTTCTTGCCATTAAGGTGAAATCATTATCATTTTGTCTGTGTAGATTGTTTCTTTATTGTTTTCTTTCCTCATATCCAAAGTTGGTGACTTTAAGAGTCTAATAATACTAGGAACCAAGGATACCATTCAGAGTTGCTCCTAAGAGAGCAACAGGGCACCCATGAAAGCAAATAAACGAATATGTCCCTGCCCTTCGTCTTACAGGACCTGTACCGCCCCCTCTCCTCGGATGATTTGGACTCAGTAGGAGACTCAGTGTAAAAGACACAATGGAGCAGTGTATATGGTTTGTGATTGGGTGAAGGTTTCACATTTCCTAAGCAAGTGTCTAACAGTAAAGAACACAAAAGAGTTTTGCATACTTTGAAATAATATAAAACAAAACATACAAATATAAATATGTGAGCATTTTATATCCATGGTGTTTATCCTTGAAGGAAAAAAAATTTAACTATCTCCTCCATTTGATTTGATTGGAGGAAGTTTCACTCAGTTGCTGAAGGTTTTGAGTCCTGGCTCTAGATAAATTCCACGTATAAACCTGATACTGAGAACATGCTAACAGCCCTATAGTGTCAAAATTTCCATGGATGAGGTTTTCTTTTTAATTGCAAGTAGACATACAGATGCAATTTTTCTGTATTTACTGAAAAGGAGAATAAAATGGCACTAGCAGACATATTTTTCCTTAAAATTATTCTTTTTAAAAACTTGGGTGGCTGTTTTTTTTTTTAGAGATTCTTTTACTGTAAAATAATGGAGCCAGGGATTTAGCTCAGTGTTCTGGCCACTGCTTCACAAGCGCAAGGACCTGAGTTCAATCCCTGGTACTAAAAAAATAAAAAAATAAAAAAAAATAACAACAATAATAATAATAATGGAAATATTCAATTAGTTTTTTTCTTCCTAATAATTTTGGAGGTTAACATATCTGAGGGGACTAATGTTGGACATTAGGAACTTTGCATTTGTTGTCACATAAATTTTATTTTGTGAAGTTATCTTTCATAGGCAGGAGCATAAATATAATTTAGATTATATGGAAACATGAGGGGCTTGTTCATGGCATTAGCATAAATTATATAATTCTTCCCTCCAACCATATATGTAATTTTTCACATGTATTAAAGCTGAAGCAAGGATTTTTTTTTTAAACACAGAGATCTTTTTAAAAATTGTGCCTGGACTTCTTCCAAAAAATCAATTTGAGAATCAAAATTCTCTTAAATGGTGCTGTATAAATTAGGTGCAAATATTGAAATCTACATTCTGATACATCCTAGATCTTACCGGTGTTTTGAAAATTTTCATATGCAAAACTGCTTTTGTGTTAAACCAAGTAAGTCTATGATTATAACCCATTGTTAAACATTAACATACTAATTCTACTCTTCTAGTCTTCTGTTTTTAAAATGGTAGTCAGCTTTGCTTAAGCATAAAACAATTTTTAAAAATCTGAATGTTAAAAATTAATCTAGTGTG